CCCGGGATAAACGTCGAGATCATCTAAGGAGAGACGCAGTTGTGCCAGCACTGATCATTCAGCTCGTAATTGACGAACTATGCGCAGCTTCGTCCCTCCGCTCTTTTCCAGCTAGACGTGTTGAAACGAAGAATATAGAACTCTCCCACAGATCCATATTGAGCGGAACCTTCGCATCCGTTTCCTGCGGCACGGAGTTGGTAATAGGTCAACTTCGTCGATATCCTCGGCCTCTAATGATCAGAGACCGGGGGATTAGAGTCTAATCCCGCATACCATGCGGGATTGGATTTCAGAATCATTAGGCGCAGCACACGCACGAACCAGGGACTTCAGAATGACGACGTGCTCTTTGCTGTTGATTTCTTCTGCCAGCGATTTGCAGCAGCTGACGTCGAGAGGCTGAAGCAGGGCGCCCTTGGTGATGTTTTTCTTGACCAAACACTTGGCTACGTCAAGCTGTGCGGACGGAGTAGGCTTCTCGAGCAAAAACGGGTCACTTTGAACATGAAGTTTGCCAACGCTTCCACTCCGAAGGCGAGCCGCACCAAGCGACGTTGGGATCCTCGATCGCGCCAAATCGGCGCGCCGATGGACCTCGTCGGGGAAGGGGCTACGACCAGCCGGAGAGTTCGAGCCGACAGCAACCATGCGGCTGGATAATCCCTTGTGACTGGCCGACCCGTTGTTCAACCTGCTGATCTGCTGTTGCTGAGTGGAGGATGACGCCATATCGAGTGGGTGAAACAATACCAAATCGCAATGAGAATTAATTTTCCGTAGTTGGCTGGAGAGACAAATCTTTGGGTTATTCAACCGATTCCAACATTTTCAGGAAACCAAGAAGGTCACGCGTAAGAATGTCCTTCAGCTAATTTTTATCGATTTTCTGTCAATCTAATATCGATTTCACCGTGGATCTCACCAGTTCACGATTCCGCACACATTCACATTATGAATCGATGACTTTCTTACGATAAAATTATCCAGAATTTAAATACTTCACTGATAGCCACATACTCGATAGCATACGCAACTTTGAGTAGTACGTCCACAGCGGAGGCGAGAGGGGCGTTTTGAAAAGTTCCGATTGGAGTGATATCGACTTGCACCAAGTAGACCCACCTTGGGAGCTTCCAATATAAGCATCCCGAAAACATTGACCATCGCCGACACGCCATTGTCAAGCGCATCGATCCCAGCACCGCTCTGACAAACCATCGAACCTGAGCAAGTCGAGTAATAATCGATCGCGTGATCGATCTCAACATTACTCGCAGTAAACCCAACCCGGGAAGTCGTGTAGGTCATTATATCAAAATCTATACTGTTCGCAGATGGTCGACTATCTGAAAGCGTAAAATTCGGAAAAGCATGAACACCACCGAACGAAATTACAGTTGAAGCCCAAAAGCGATCTTTCGACTCGAAGCGCATTCAGCAGTTGAATTCGAAAAATACACTTTTTCAATCAGAAATGGCATTCATGGCGATCCCAACAACTCTCACCTCCTGTCCCTCCTAGCCAACATAAGAATTGTGTTTGAAGGTGTACAGTCGCGTCCAACCTGAGTCCACGCTCGTTATCCAGACAGCATCTGTACTCTAGCAGAGATGAAGGTCCGTTCAAACGCGATTATCACATTTGACCGGAAGAATAGAAATCCCAAGAAGCGCCGATTTCACAAAAAAGTACCTCCCGCGGGAATATTTAAAATACGGAAATTTACAAAAATCCCGCCACATCTGAGGTGATAGAAACCCGAGCATGCAATTTTGAGATACACGACCACGCGTCATGAAATTACCGATCATTCATCCGTTCACAGTCGGATCCGATTCTCATGATGGCGTCCCAAAGGTCGTATAAAGCTGTTATGAGAAGGACTGTGTTACACAGAAGGCATCCTTGTCTTATCGAGAGCAGGAAGAACGCCTTACCGTAAACCTCGGAAGAGAACATGTGACAAAGGTGTGGTATGAATATTAAATTAATTGAGCCCCACTAAACTCAGCTACTCAGCATGATGAAACCAAATCAATGCGGGAAGATGTTCACATCACATGGTCAACTACATGTGTTGGTGACAATACCGAAATTCTGAGAAAACTTTTTAATGGTTTCTGTAAACTTCCACCCCAATTTGTATGTACACTCCCGTGATCAGTGGAGAAACTCCTCAACTCAGCTGAGGCAAATGAACATGTAGTCCAACACTGTACCCAACGTGTCCTAACCCATAGTAGAAAACAAACACGAGAGCAGTGTACCGACCCGGACTGTTGCGATTGAATGGGTTACGATGGGGCACAATCAGTGTGAGAAAATATGCACATGGTGGACCACATAGGTTGGTGACAATATGGAATTTCTGAGGAAATTTTGCAAAATTCTTGTTGTTTTCTGTACATTTCTACCCTAGTTCGTATACAAACTCCTATAATGAGTGAGGAAAGTCCTAGGGTCAGCTGAGGAAAGCGAGCATATATCACAACACCGGGCCCAATAGGGAGAAGCGCTATTATATCCACTTTATTGACCTCATCAGATCGATACACCTCTTAATACGCCGAGGCAACCCACCGTAAGCCGAAACGATCGACACATAGCAAAGGTGAATACAAAACCCAAGGGCGGAAGAAGCGAATCAAACACATGGAGCACGAGGGTGACAACCCAGAACCCGACAAGACGACCAGATCCTGAACTGTTATACAGGTGAAAGCTGATCTACTCGAAGTTTGTCCCAATTCCTTGCATTTTGGAATACCACAGTAAATCATCCAGTGACTGGAATATCCAGTGGCTGGGTTGCTCTCACGCATAGGTAGAATTATGGAGTGATTTCCACATAAAAATTTCACTATCCCATCAGAAACCGCATACGGCCGCTGAACGAATCAGCTCCTATTAATGCTGGCGATATCGATGCCGTGAAGATTGCTGCCAACCCGATATGTCGACTCCGAAACATGAGACTTGCGCAAGATCCGGCAAGATGCCGAGATTTACCTACTTTCCATCAACAGTGAACAACTTGTGATTATAAAATCCTATGCACAGCGGGGTGGGATAGGCGGACGAGAATGCTACTGTGGGTTCGATTCCGAGTCGATAATGTTTGCGAAACACAAACTACAAAATTCTGGCTCTACGAAATTTCAAAGTAAAAAATGTACTTTTTTGAGAAACTCTCTGATCAAGACAAGAGGTGAATATCGTAGTGTCTTCCATATCATCTGGAAGCCATCCGTAGGAGCCCTCGAACAGCGTGTAAACCGTTCTTCGTCTTGAACAGGGAGTTGTTCAAAAAACACACTCTTGCTGAAACACCCTGTAGTTGGCTCAGACCCGCATTCAACCTACAGCCAAAAGCCAACAGTATTCCCTGTCTGCTAGAGTATGGTTCATCTGAACATCAGACTCTGATGATCAGAGCACCATAACTACACGCTGGTCTAGTACCGTGGCTGTCACCATCATCATTCAGCTATGTCACAACCTCCACCCACACACTACGTCAGGGGAGACTTGATTGAATCCATCATATCAATGCTAATGAATAACAATCATTATTACACTGTATAGCTAGTACTGTATTGTATTACTATTATTACACGTATGAGTACTTCTATTTATTTGCTAGCGCCGTTGTGTCATTAGTTCTTCGATTCCACTCTCATCGATTTCTTACTAGTTAGCCACCAGGTATGATTGGCATCGGTGCTAGGGAGTATTGACAGTGAGCGCAGCTGAGAAGAGATATGGAGTTGCAAATACCAGAAGATAAATGAACGAATGCTCTACGAACGATCGAACGACCATTTAGCATGGGAATCTTAGGTTGACTCGCGTAAGATACAAATCAGGTCCACTCCTCTGCCTCAGCCTCTTATATCGATCACCATGGCTGATGTCTCCTTCGGCATTGGTATTACTTGCACTCTACTAGCTGCATTCTTCTACGGTATACAATACGTTCCCTGTAAGCAGTACACCACCTTCGACGGTGCCGTCTTCCAATGGTTTATGTGCAGTGGCATCATCTGGGGAGGTATACTCCTCCAACTCATCCTCATGCTTGCCCTTGACTGGCCCGGCCCTCAAGTGATTCTCTATGGTGTCCTCTCCGGCATGCTATGGGGCTCTGCCAACTTCCTCGTTATCCCCCTAGTGCGGATCTGCGGTCTAGCCCTAGGTTTCTCCCTCTATCACATCATCAATCTCTCATGGGGGTACTGCCTTAGTCGATTCGGTCTCTTCGGCATGGACCAGGACGTCGGTCGCATACCACTCCTTCGCGACATCGGAGTCTTCGTCCTCCTCGTTTCCTTCATAATGCTATTTTGGGTTGAACCAGAGGAGGCCAAGACCACTACCACTCCTCTGAAAACTAAGGAGAGACCATCACAGAGTGTCCGCCACAAGAACTCAGCGCCGATCCAAACTGACGAGACTTCCCCAGGGCAAGGTATCGCAGAAGCTGAAGTTGTGGCCAAAGACTCCACATCTGCCAGTCAACATCGCCGGAAGTATATTTTCGGTGCGAGCAGAGCACAAGCGATCAAACTAGCAGGTATGCTCCCTTTAGTGTACTCCTCCACATTACCTCGTTTCATCACAGGCATCGTATTGGCGATAGCAGCGGGTGTATTGACGGCCATGAACGGTTGGCCGTATGCTTTGTGGATTCAGACGCAACAAGGGAAAGATATGATGGCGGTAGGGTTGAATATCGACCTTACCACTCAACGTTCACTTTTCCGTTCTCAGGTTCAGTTCGTATTCTCGCAAACTATCGGTATCTACTTTGTCTCCAGCGTGTGGTATTGGTTGGCGTCGACCATTCGACAATTCGCTTTCAAAAAGCGTACCAACCACAGCGTCATCCGTCCAGCATTTATCGCCGGTACCAGGGATAGAACC